ATCCTCAATCAAACTTCTTCATTGCATTCGACACCAAAAATGACCATGCTGTATATACATTGTATGCAAGAAATACAAAAATTTCACATGTAAAGACAAATATACACATGCAATCGATAGTGAAATTCAAAAAACAAAAACAAAACTTTGTCTACTTCGTCCACGAAACCTTAGGGATGTCGTTGAACTCAGTCAATTCGCTCATTTGCTTATTGAATTCCTCCACTCGTTCACGATGACTTACGGCGGCTTTCTTCTGCATTCGTTCAAACTGTAAAAAAAGGTAAGAGTAATGCAACCAAGAAACTTTACAAAAATTCTGACATACTATATTCTGCTCCCGTCGTTTTTCGAATGCAATCTCCGCTTTCGTCTTGCCTGCTGTGTTTGTTTTGTCGTCCTTCTTGATCGTTAAATCAATCATCTTCGGATCGACCTTCTTCTTTTTCTTCTTGAAGATGTCACCTTTCTTCAATTTCAAGCTGCCTCTGATGACTTCGCCTTCTAGAGACATGATATAACCTAGAAATGACTGGTTTACAGCGCAAAAAATTACCATTGCAAGCAAAAAAATAAGTAAAAAGTAGCAAACATACCGGGTTTCAACCGCATAAACGAAAAAACAAGTAAAACAAAATAAAATCTTTTATACACCATGGCCAACCACATGATTGAGAAAACACATTGAAACAAAGAATTCTATTTGTACACCAAGGCTGGAATCTACAGATATCTCTACGCTAGTTTGCTCGCATCTTCATAGGGGACTCGCACACTCCGTCCATGCATGGGACCATCCGAAATGCGTAAGTTCAAACAGAAATTGTCTTGATCCAAACTTTCCAACTTCTGCAATGCTTTTATGTTATCAAAAACTATACGAATTCGATAGCAAAGTAAAAAATAGAATATGAAATTCAAACAACGATTACAACAACTTACGGCATTGCATCCTCTATAAGCGCCATTGACAATCTTCATCTCTCGTCCTACATTGGGAATGACCGTTTCAACATGAGCTTGATCCAGTTTCACAAGTGTTCCTTCAAGAAAAAACATTGAAAACAATACCTCTTCGCCCCAAAAACGGCTGCAAGTGCCAAAAAAGGTAGAAAAATTCCTTTCAATTTTTTGCGGCCGCAAGCAACAAAATATGAATTGATGAGACAGTTGAAACGCTGATCATCGAGAAAACAAGCCAAAAAAAAAC